TAAATATTTGTGATTGTGTTTTGATTTAGACTGCATTCACAGTCAATTTGTATAGTAGCAGGAATGCTGTTTACCTTTTACCATATGCACACCATATATAATGGCAAGGTCAGTACTCAGGCTGAGAATAATACAACTGTGTGTTTTTATAAAGGATTACTGTAGGGGTGGATCTTTCTCCTTTTCCTAGATTTTATTGTTTAGAAATTATTCATAATTAGGGCCGGTGGAATGATTCTTGCTGCACTAGGCAACAATACATTTTGCCACCCCCTCATGAATGCAACTACATTCCTTCAGAGGTTTATTAACTAAACAAACAAAAACACTGACACCCGTGAAAAAAGTGATGAAACACAACAACTTAACTCTGACTCCAAGGTTATTTCCCAGCTAATAACCTTATAGCAGAACAGTATAATTGATAGGATATTTGGGATTCTGCTGCTAAGTGAATAAATCGCCTTTGAAGTATTCCTTTGGCTGCAGTTGTTTGGATCTTCTTGCTGACCTGGATACCCCACTGGCTATCACTTGAGGAGGGAGAATTAAAGGAGAACAACCCCCCCATTTACACTCAGGGGGAGGCACCCTAAATACGCTTATATTCTTTGGAATATGTGAGTGCATACTTTTCATCAGTGGTTTTATAGTGTGTAGCAATATTTGCACTATGTTTTGTCCTCTATTGTAGGTACATCAGCAGAATCCCAAATATCCTATCAATTATACTGTTTATTAACTAAAATCTGAATTGCTGTGAAGAGACATTTAGGGAAAGAGACACACTGAGTAGGCATTAAAGGGAAACTACAGTGCCAGGAAAACAAACTTTGTTATCCTGGCACTATAGCTTCCCCCTCTGTCAAGCGCCCCTACCTCATGGTGCAGAAGGGGTTACAAGCCCCTTCTGTCACTTACCCAGGTTCGGTGCCAATGTCCCTCCACACTGGCTCGGGTTCACCTTCACTCATCAATGGCCAATTAGGATTTCCCATAGGAAAGTGTTATACAATGCTTTCCCATGGGTTTTTGCGTGAGGCTGGACATTCCCATGCGTAGCCACGAGAGGTGAAGTTATCCCAGAACGATAATTATTGCAGTTTCTTAAAAGCTGCAATAATTACTTTTGCAGGGTTAAGGGCCATGGGATAGTGCATCCAGACCACTTCAATGAGCTGAGTGGTCTGTGTGCATATAGTGTCCCCTTAAGTGAAAGCAGATGCACGGTGAGAAATTTCAGAGAACAGAAACCACCTGGGAAGACATTTAGGGAAAGGATAAAGAGACTGTTGATATATTTAGGAAACATAGACTGGGAGGCATTTAGGAGAGAGACATAGTGAGCACACATTTAGGGAAAGAAAGAGAAACTCACGCGCACACACACTTGCACACTCTCATTAACACATACACACTGTCACTTGCACACTCTCATTAACACATACACACTGTCACTTGCACACTCTCATTAACACATACACACTGTCACTTGCACACTCTCATTAACACATACACACTGTCACTTGCACACTCTCATTAACACATACACACTGTGTCACTTGCACACTCTCATTAACACATACACACTGTCACTTGCACGCTCTCATTAACACACTAACACTGTGTCACTTGCACGCTCTCATTAACACACTAACACTGTGTCACTTGCACGCTCTCATTAACACACTAACACTGTGTCACTTGCACGCTCTCATTAACACACTAACACTGTGTCACTTGTACGCTCTCATTAACACACTAACACTGTGTCACTTGCACGCTCTCATTAACACACTAACACTGTGTCACTTGCACGCTCTCATTAACACACTAACACTGTGTCACTTGCACGCTCTCATTAACACACTAACACTGTGTCACTTGCACGCTCTCATTAACACACTAACACTGTGTCACTTGTACGCTCTCATTAACACACTAACACTGTGTCACTTGCACGCTCTCATTAACACACTAACACTGTGTCACTTGCACGCTCTCATTAACACACTAACACTGTGTCACTTGCACGCTCTCATTAACTCACTAACACAGTGTCACTTTCACGCTCTCATTAACTCACTAACACAGTGTCACTTTCACGCTCATTAACACACATTCTCTCACTGACATACATTGCAACTTACACCCTCTCACTAACATACACACACAGTGTCACTTACACATTCTCACTAACAGTGTCACTTTCACACTGTCACCAACACACACAAACTCACACCACTTTACATAAAGTCACACTTTATTTACACACAGAAATACAGCAATTTAACACACACATAGAAACAATTACAACCATTCATACAATAAACAATCCTCCTTAGCCTACCTGGGTGATGTTAAAAAGAGAAGGGGACTAGCCTGCAGGATGTTTTTCTTCTTTATGCTGGGGGAGCAGGAGAGCCGTGCCCCGTGAGCACAGGCTGCTTCCTCTTCTCCTCAAGAGAGTTTCCGATGTTCACAGGCAGGAGACAGCCAGGATACCAGGTCATGTCCCAGCTTCCCCTGCCTGCAGGAAGCAGTGTGCTCTGCTCGGGTGCCTGGGTTACAGCACACCCAGTTCTCTGAGCGGGAAAGAGGAGTCCAGCAGATGAATGGCTGCGCTGGGGGGTGGCTAAGGAGCCGCTCGCCCAGCACAGCATCCCCAGACAGCAGCAGAGCAGCCCACCAGGAAACTTCCCGGTGGGCGCCCACTGCAGGTCGGCGCCCCAGGCAAATGCCTTATTCGCCTTATGGTAGCGCTGGCCCTGTTCATAATGGGTATTGTACACGCAATATTATGAAGGTAGCTTGCGTGAAACAATACAATTTACAGCAACAATGGCAAAAATGTAGATTTCTCCAGCTGTTGCAGAACTGCAGCTCATGTGAAGCTATACCATATTTTATGTCGGTAAATCAACATAGAGATGCACTTTTGCAATAGAAGGGGATTCTCTTTTTGGCCATCACTAATATAGATGTATACACCAACTCTAACTTTACCAAGCTGTCTGTTTTAGGTTCTAAGTTATTCTGCCCTTTTATTATATCTTTTACAAACCTTTTATTATATAAAAGCATGGTGTTTTATTTTAGAAAGTTTTTGATCACTTGCACCATGCCTCATGTAAGTTTGCACAAACCTAATTCATTAAAGACTATGGCTGCTTCATTAAAATGATACTCTTGACGTACTTGTATTGCTATCCTAGTTATTGTTTATGATGGTTTGCTTTATCTGCATCTATGTTCTAAATTTTCAAGATATCTAATTATTGGGTTGTTTTTTTTTTTCAATCTTTTCTTCTGTCTTAAATTCAGAACATGGGTCAAGAAGAGCCAAAGCACTTTAGTTTTCCCTTGTCTCAGATGATAAGTCCGTAAACCTGTTTTTTGCCTTTTTTTTTTGTCTTTTAGCAAACATTCATCTAGATGATGATCTGGCCGGTGGCTTCCATTCTTGTGACAGTGATGATGAAGAGGATAGGGCTTCACATGCCAGCTCAAGTGACTGGACTCCAAAACCTTGCATAGGTATAAAATTTCAATGCCAAATCACTTTTTTGGGAAGAGCGGTGATGCCAAAGAATAAGTGAAAAGTTGACATCCACATAACACACACAAAGATTTAAACTGTTTTTCTGTATACATTTTTACTGCATGTGGATTCTGTACATTAAACATTTATGAATCCCTAGAGGTAATGTGACCCCTTTTGCTGAGTAATTCTGAGTAATTGGCGCTGATGAGCTCAGGGGGTTCCATTGGAAATTGATCAGAGGTTGTAATTTGCTGCAAAAGAAAAAATTAGAGCATAGTTTCTTTTTACATCGCTATAAACCAAGCTTCACATTTCTATGCCAGAGACTTTAGCAATAATTATTTTATATTAAATGGACACTATAGGCACCCAGACAACTTCAGCTCATTGAAGTGGTCTGGGTGCACTGTCATAGGTCAATAATTAACTTTGAGGGCTAAGTTCACCTCTAGTGGTTGTCTGGACATCGCAGCTGAAATAAGATAAGTGACAGGTTTTTTTTTTAACTCCTTCTGCACTATAAGGAGCTATAGTGGCACAATAGTTTCCCTTTAATATTTTGTTTATGAACAACACAGAATATTTATCTTCTCCCCTCTCCCAATAAGGAAGGAAAAACTCGTCAAGAGTGTGAAAAAAATCCCATTGGTGAATCACTGTGTAATACATTTTCTATAGTCTTGTAATTCCTGTTAACACTTAACGGGACACTATAGTGAGCAGAACAACTACAGCTTATTTTGTTCTGGTGAGTATAATCATTCCTTTCAGACTTTTTGCAGTAAACACTGAATTTTTAGAGAAAATGCAATGTTTACATTACAGCCTACGGATACCTCCACTGGCCACTCCTCATGTGGCTGCTATAGGTGCTTCCCTCTTCATAGAGACACTGAACTTTCCTCATAGAGATGCACTGATGCAATACATCTCTGAGAAGATGCTGACCGACCAGAGCTGTGTTTGGTTAAAGCTGATCTGCCTCATTGACAAGCTCAGGATCCAATGCTTTCCCATGTGAAAGCATTGTGATTCACTCAGAACACCACTGCAGCAGCATTCTGGAATAAAGGTAACATTTTGTTATATTTAGGGGGCAAGGAGAGGCTACATGGTGGTTATAACACTATGGTCAGGAATACATGTTTGTGTTCCTTTTAGGTCAAATAGCGGAACTGTGGAAGTGGCTGTACAATGCATACTCATTATTACAGTATATTACCTAGAACATGTAGTAAATGTTTACTGCTTTGTACTGCCACTCTGAAAGTTCCCTAGGCTAGCAAATACTTCAAATGTATAAGTTCCTAAATTCATATGACTTCTGTTGTTTGTTTTATTTTCAACACGTTTGGGAAAAATGTGTGATGCTATGGAAACAAAATACACCTTAATCTGTTTTGTTTCCTTAGTTCAGACTGCCTATTATTATTATTATTTACTGCATACCTGATATTAGAAAATTTGTCATGCAGGCCCGTATACATTCGTTCAGCGACATCTGATGATGGGAACCGATCCCAGGACAATTCTTAAGGATCTCCTACCCGATTCTGTAGCACCACCAGATCTGGATGATATGACTTTATGGCAAATTGTTATAAACATACTGTCAGATCCCCCAAAAAGGAAAAAACGTAAAGACATCAACACTATTGAAGATGCTGTACGACTTCTACAGCAAAGCAAGAAAATAATGGTGCTTACAGGAGCTGGAGTATGTATATAGTTTATTTTATTTTTTCAAATATTCAGACAAAATTTTAATGTGGTTTGTAATTTAGAAGGTAATACCTAGTAATGGCTAACCCCTGCTACAGTACATGATCATGAAATGCATTTCCTACGGTGCATTGGCTGCAAGTTCAACTTGACCCATGTAGTTCAAAACCTTTTTCATGCAAAGTAGTGGTCGACTGACAATGATTTTTTTTTTGAGATGATACCGATAGCCGATAACGTACCGATATTCTGTACATTTACCATTTAAAAAACAAAACAAAAAAAAAACAATTTCTACACAAATCTACTGTTAACTGAACATGTTTATTATTCTTTATTTTTTTTTATTAAGGTAAATGCACAAAATATACATGCCAGTCAGACTTTTTTTTTTTTTTTTATGTTTTCAAGAATGTGTGTGTGTGTGTGTAGTCCCCCCTTTGCTTCTTACCTGTCCAGGGAAGGCGGAACATGCAGACACAGCACACTCTTACTTGCCTTCCCAGCAGCTCCCCTGTCTAACTCTCGCGGCCTTTGTGCCGCGCAGAGCGTTGCCACGGTAACCTGTGCCAATGCTCTGACAGCCGCGGGACTCACAAGAGTTAGACAGGAAAGCTGAAGGGAGCTGCTGGGAAAGTAAGTGTGCTGGGCCCCCCAGGACCTTGGAGGTGGCCCTGGCGTGCATTATCGTCAATCTCGGTATCTTAATTGGTCGATACCGATATTGCACGTTGTGTAAAGTAAACCATAGCACACCATTGTCATTATGCAAACATTTTTTTTTTTTTGTTACAAACTTAGCAAAAGTAAGCACTATTAAAGTGTATAATATGAATATAGTATCACCACTGTGTATAACGACCTGTCCAAATTTATACAATATAACTAACTATAAATGTTAACAAAATTTAATATGTACAGAAGTGTGCAAAGGTCTTGCAACATTGCCTCTCCATGGTACTAATGATATTTGCATAGAAATAAAACGCATAACAATCACAAATAACTGAAATGTTATACCTAATTAAAGGACATTTAATATAGATTTAAAATCTGTGTTTTTTGTGTACCATAAGTCGTTGGAGAAAAAAAAAAAAAGCAAACCTAACAATGCTGATCTTTTTTCACTTTTTAAATCTCCATTATATTTTTATATTTCCTTTAGTCTGATTTATATAATTTTATTTTCTATTGTTCTATATTGTTTATTTCTATTCAAAGATGCTGAATTTTGCACTTCTCTGTACATACCGTATAACTTATCTAATTGAGCCAGGTAAGTCGCTTTTGTAGTTCTATGTTTTATGCTATGTTTAAAAAAAAAAAAAAAATGTAACCGCTTCAATGTATAGTATGTGGACATTATCTGATCCTATTTACTCTGCTTTGATCCTAAGAATTGATAACACTCCTTGGTAGGAGAGAGGAAAGCTACTTCACTTTCATCTTGGGATATGATTTTTGGTTTGTTTTTTGGTTTGTTTTTTTCCTTACTTAACAAATAAACCTAAACTTCTTTGATATGAGCCTAAATAATACTGAATTGTCGCTGCCTGAAAAAAATGAGTTGGCTTACTTCTTGTTCATAGTATTTATTGTATACACTCTTGCATACTAGAAAACAGGTAAAGGTATAGTTTAGTACTCTTGACACAAATGTAACCTTTCTGAGATGTATTCTCCTAAGCTATTTCACAGACCGATCTTGTAATATTTACATTCTGTTTGTATGGTGCTATGGAATGTGCTGGCACCTTATGATTATATTTTTCTCCTTCCCTGTAGGTTTCAGTTTCCTGTGGCATACCAGATTTTAGATCAAGAGATGGAATTTATGCACGCCTCGCAGTAGATTTTCCAGACCTTCCAAATCCTCAAGCCATGTTTGATATCGAATACTTCCGGAAAGATCCAAGACCATTTTTTAAATTTGCAAAGGTTTGTCTTGCCATTTGAAAGTCAGTTTTAAACATAAAACACAGGTAGTCTCAATAGAACACAAAACGTCCATGTAGGACCTTGTAGGTAACAGGGCAGGCTGTGAGTATTACAAAAAAATTCACCAAATGCGTCCACTGGCTGTATAGCTAGAATCTACATTTTTATCATAGAATGGGGAAATTCACTACAGAAGGATTCATACAACAGAAACTATGTTTATACACTGAAATGAGTCTGATTTGTCTTTTTAAAAACAACCTATGATGTAAAGCCTATGCCATAGGCCTGGTGTGGAGGGTTCTTTAGCTCGAGATTTCAGCAGGTGGTAGAGGGGCTGTGGGATTGCTAGTGTTTTGTTACTTTTCTTTTTACATCAAGAAGCTGATTATCGAAGCAGCCACTATTATAGGACTCTTCCATGTTACTAAGTTGGAGGAGATGGTCCCAGGTGACAGGAGGGCAGTTCCTGTGAGAGAGGCAGCAAAGTGTGGCTAGAGAGAATTGCATTGAATGTGCAGCAGCTTGCTGTTTCTGCCTATATATGTTTTTAACGTTGACATCCCAGCTTGAATAATTGGCAAGGTTTGCGTAGAAAGCTGGAATATGGCTCCTAGGGTGGAGCCTTAGGTTAGGTGTCATTGGGTTTTGCTTTGGGCTCAAGTGCCCTGTGTTTGTGGAAGCTAATACCACTGGTCATTTCACCAGTGGAATTCAGTGTATTTCTGTAGTGCATCTATGAATCTTGAGTAAATATTGACTGAGGCCCCCTGACCTCAGTAGGATTTTTTTCTCAGGTATATCAGCGCACATAAAATACTTTAGCGAAGCAGGAGGCATACAGGTAAAAATAATCCTGCAGAGCTCCGAAATCCTTATTGGTGGTATAGAAGTTCTCTTAAATTAAATAAATCACATAATTCCATTATTAGCTGGGTGTGAGGATAAAATAGCTGATGTATTGTGCTTATTATTTCTTTTTGAGAAAGAAGTTGGGAATCCTGCCACAATGAGTTATGTCTAGAGCAGCAGTTTGGAATAAATGGGTTATAAATGCACCTTATTATTCATAATTGCTCCCAGGAAAGTAATGGCTTTGGACAGCCTTGGAAAGAGTAAGTGGAATAGGGTGGTGGAATTGATCTTTGCAATGTGTGAATAAACAAGTGAGTTCTGTTCTACTATGCATAAAATAAAAATAACCTTAACATCTCTAAATAAAATGGTAATTTGTTTTTACTTTAGTGTTTTTTGTTTTGTTTTTGTTTTCATGGTAGAAGCTCTGTAGGTATTTGGTCCACTTTGCCTGACAATGCATGGAGTGCTTATAGCTGTCAATCGAATTAAAAGCTGTCATATCGGCTCATCCTCCTTGTGCAAATTAATGCTGGAATATTTTGAGACCTTTTGAATCTGTTTTGAGGGTAATCTCCCATGATTAATTTAACCTTTTACAAATTTCTCCTGCAATTAAGAAATTTGGTTTAAGCAGTGTTTGATTTTTCAGTATGTATTTGAATTAACCATTCATCTTCAAACACAGATTGTTCTTCGCTTCAGTCTGTGTAAGTCATGGTTTCAATAATTCAAAAGCATTGACTTTTAAAAGGGAAATTGGGGGTAAAGCATTGTATTACATAGAAAATGCATGAAAAAAGTGGGGGGAAATTAAACTCAAGTTGCATACCTTTTTAAGGGAACACTAACGCTATAGTGTCCTATTACACTTCGACCTGTAAAAGGTTTTACTTACTGTCTGCTCCTCCTTCAGTGACATTCTCCTGTAGATGTCACTTCCACTATGAAAAACTTTGCTAAATCTACTAAACGGCAATATTTTAGATTGAAGAGCTAAAATGACAGGGTCACTGCACCCAAACCACTTCATTGAGATGAAGTGGTATGGGTGACTTTAGTAGTTCTTTAAAGTTTCCTTATTGTTTATTACAGGCATAGGCAACCTTTGGCACTCCAGATGTTGTGGACTACATCTCCATGATGCTCTTGAGCATTGTCTATAAAAGCATCAGACAGACTACAGGCATACCCCACTTTTAAGTACACAATGGGACCAGAGCATGTATGTAAAACGTAAATGTACTTAAAGTGAAGCAATACCCTTTTTCACTTCCCAATGCATGTACTGCATTGCAATAGTAATTTACAGGCATCACTGATACTGTAACTGCAGATTTCCATTGATTTTATTTCCAGTGATTTATTTAATGATTTTCAGTGGGCTTTTATTCAGTTAAAACAAACCGTAAAAAAGAAAAATCTCATTCCAGATTGTACCATTTATCTTTAATGTTTTACTCATCTGACAACCTTAAACTGGCAGGAAAAGTAAAATAAACCTGCCAACTGGGCCATTTTCTGTCAATACAGTGCCAATTTGTAACCGCTTAGTTGTTTAGAAGTGCACTTGTTTAGAAACACCTCTTCATCACTTTAAGCATTTATGGTTTAACTTTGAATCCTCAGAATTGTGGCTAATGCAGCTAAGCTGCCAAGTCATATTTATAGAAAACGGCAGGGTTAAACCCTTCACTTGATGGCGGCAGATTATGGACAATGTATGGGCAGGAAAAAATATATATATGTTCAACTAGGAGTAGGCATTATAAATTTGAGATGATTAACCTGTGCCATGTCAGAAGGTGTGAAAAGATCTTGCCTCAAAGACACTGAACTGAGCTGCTCCGGGCGAGAATAGAACCTTCCATTTCCTGTTCACTCGCGGACAGAAGAGGCGCAGGAATGTCTGTATACGCAAGTGTACTTAAAGTGAGTGTATGTAAAGCGGGGTATGCCTGTATTTATTTATGTAGGTTGCTGGACTTTTCCTATGTTTTAGTCACCCCGGACCCATTGTGTGTGTACTGTTAAATGTTTACATAGCGCTGACCCAATATCTATCTGTTCGACTGATAAATGTTTTGCCTGCTCTCCTGTACTGTTGAGGATTGCTACCAATTAGTTGGATTTGGTTATGGAGCCTGTGTAGTGCCCTCTGTTGGTAGCAACAGCAATATGCACTACCTGAATAGCAAGGCTGGTAATTTGCATATTGCTAATTCTGCAGAAAGAGATATTGTCTTCCCCATCCCTTTATAAATGTCATTGTGTTATAATTTACTGTAAATTGTCTGATTTGACTGTTTGTATTTTTATTGAGTTGTCACAGCAAAGAATATGTAATGATCACATGGGTTAGTCCCAAGTAAAATAAAGTTTTGGATGTTGGTTCCTTTTGGAACGTGTCCTGTGTGGATTTATAGGAATCCCAGTGACAGTCTTTTGGCTGTTTGCAGGATCCCTCTAGCCCTGGGATAAAGCTAGGCATGGAACCGCAAGTGTCTTTTTAAAGACGAGCTATAACACCTGCACCTATGATGGACACAGGGTGACTAAACATAAGATAAATTCAGGGACCTACGTGAAGTGTCCGTTTTATGCTCCATGTGATGGTGACTACCGTCACATTCCCCTGGAAAAGCGGCAGGTATCCACAGCGGAAGAGGCAGAGGGGATGATACTTGCCTGGAAGGAGAGCTGCTGCCTGGTCAGGTGGAAAAACTCCAGAAGGATCCCAGTCAAGCTTCGGCAATTGGAGCTGAAGTGTTCCAGGGTCCCTGCAAGCAGCTAGGAAGCAGACACTGGGCAGAGGTACTCTGTTGGAGTACAAGAGCTCCGTCACACCTCTGATTTATTAGATTTGGCTGTAGCTTTATGCAGGTCCTCCCTATCCCATAAACTCGTGGCCACCAAAGATTAAGGGAATATGTTGTTTATTCACTGTGATTGAGCTCCTGTACTTTGACTGAGTACCTCTGCTTTCTAGACGTTTTCAAGGACCCTGGAATGCTAAAGCTGAAACTTGACTGGGGTCTCTCAGGACCTCCTCTACCCTACCAGGCTGCAGTTGTCTGCTTCCAGGCAGTTATCATCCCCTTAGTCTTTTCCTCTTCAACTCCTTTGCCAGGCGTCTTAAGCCTGCTGACTTTACTTGTGGCTCTCAGGCCTAGCTCTTTATTTTTTTATTTGTCCCGGGCTATAGAGACCAAGCAGCCAGCCATCAGGTATGACAAGTCTATTACTGAGACCCCAGAAAATATCTCCACTGGACACTCAGTTACAAAAGGAATGAGCACACTTGGCTTTATTTTTAACTTAGGGCTAGCCCATATGCACATAACTTTAAACTTGCTGTGACAAACTCAATTTAATACAAATAACTAAATCATATCCATAAACACAGGAACTTATAATAACATATTTATAAAGGGGTGGGGAAGATAATGAACCTGAAATCTCTCCTGCCTGCAGATATCATAATATGCAAATCTGCCTGAATATGCTAATTACATTTACTATTACTATTCACAGTGCATATGGCTGTTTCAAGCTCCTTACTGCCAACAGATGACATTGTACTGGCTACACGGCCAAATCCACCTAGCTGATTGCAAGAATCAACAGAACAGTAGAGCACCCAAAATATTTAACAACCACACATTATACACACCTGCACCTATGATGGACACAGGGTGACTAAACATAAGATAAATTCAGGGACCTACGTGAAGTGTCCGTTTTATGCTCCCTGTGATGGTGACTACCGTCACATTCCCCAGCAAGCGTTCCGCTCGTCACTTGGAATTAGTAGAACTTCTTTGTAAATAGCAGCCATGCCAAAGGAAGGAAATGGGAACTGAGCACCACATGCAAAACCTGAATAAAATTAACAAAAAGTTGCCTGCTACTTTACAGTTGTTTTATAAACCCTGCCGTTCTAAACCACCCTTCGAGAAGAGGTTAAGCCTTGAGTGCTGTATTCACCATCATCTTTGCAACAAGTCGATGCTTCTCATATTTTCTAATGAATCACTTACTGTTTAAAGTGACCTTTTTAAAGACCAATAGAGATGTTATTTGTAAACTTGTTATCCAAAAGCCATATTTTGCAAAGCAAAAAGCCGTGGTAATCAAGGTTATAAAAGTCAAAAAGAATAAGAATGCCTCTCTAGCATCTTTTTCAGTATTTTCTTCCATACAGCATGATCAAAATTTGAACGAATTTGTAAAGGTCTGTAACTTGGCAACAGGGCCAGTAGTGCCTGTTCTGTGGAATGACTGCTCTCGCTGTTGATTATGCCAAGTGCATATAGAGTGTTGCTCCTCGGTTTCATGCATAACACTGTGCGCAGCTACTCTGAATTCTAAGAATGCAATGTATAGATGAATTGTTATGCTTGTTCAAAAGAGCAGAAGTACAAATTCCACTACAGGTATTCTCTAAGATTAAGATTGTTACTTTGCAAAAAGATACAAATTGTTGTACTCAGAAGATATTGAGTATAGTTAAGATCATTTTATTATAGTGGGATACATGATATTTTAAAATGAGCAGAAAACAATTTGTATATAAAAATGAATACCAAAATCCTTTACAAAAAATGGTTTAAAAATGGCACCTCAACAAAGCTCAAAATATATCATGTGATACTCCTCATAATGTCCACTTTTGCAAATGGAATGCATTTGAGTAACTGAAATATGTGAGCTACTAAAATGCACCATTAACTCATCTTCAATTTGGCATTTAAAAAAAAAAAAAAAAAACTCCTAGGGGCGGAGCCTGACCATCTACCTGAACACATATGCAGTGATCTCCTCAGATTGTGGCAGAATTTGGGGCACAAACCCCGGCTACTCTACTTGTACATCTTCCCACAAGAGTAAATCAGGTCAGGGCCCCTGGGCAAGCAGTTTGCTATCTTTCGTGTGATTTTTTTTTTTTTTGGACAAGCCTGTTGCGACCTACTGTGAGCAAGGCTTGGGGAGAGGCAGACAATTTTGTCACCTGCTGACTTGTAGCAGAGACCTGCAGCACTCCTAACCCCCCATTTGGACTGGTGGGGGTCATCCCAATCCCCTCCGGACTGTAACCAGAAGCTGTACATACCTCTACCACAACATAAGAGCTGATTCAGACACGCTCTTGAGTACTCTAAGATTGCGATATCCTTGCACACCGACCCACATGGCGCATGCTTGGTGCAGGCGACCTGCCAAGACCCCATAACGCTGTTTCTAAAGCAGCTTCACAAGACCTTTAGCCGATGCTGGTTGAGACTAGAAGACAATCTTCAACAGGGAGAACAGAGAAAAGCACACCCAGAAGCGGAGAGACCTGCTCGGGGCAACACACTCAAGATGCAGCTTGCAAAATCCCTTACATACCTACCTGGGCCGAGAGCCGTCTGAGGATTGTCCTCATCGCATCGACCACACAGGCAGAAGATGGCCTGCAGACACTACCACCACCATCTTTCGACGACCTCTTGAAGGGGATAGATTTGGATAAAAGTCACAAAGTCTGTGGAAATCAGATGCTGGCCTGGGGCTGGAGAGGGATCCCACTTTGGAGCGACATCTCTTCTGGTGGAACCAGGGCACTGCCACGTAGGGGTATCGGCTGAGATGACCTTAAGAGCACCGACTGAAACATCACATCATACTCTGGAAACTCACTTGTATATGCCTATGAAAATCACACCATTGTTTATTGTCCTTCTACCTCTTTCTGCGGTGGAGTGGTGTGGCAATGTATTTAGTCCTGGAGGTTATACTCTCGGTGTAATTCTTAGCATGTAGCTCCACATTCCTTACTTTAATATACAGCATATGTCTCTTATATGTTCCCTAAGAATAGTGAGACTCATACTGTTGTCTTAACTAACTTACCTGATCTCATCCTATCTCTTTGCATGTTTATTTGATATACCTTGTTTCTTCTACTTTACCTGTACGTTAAAAACTCTATATTCTAGCCTGACCTTTTCGAATTTAAAAAAAAAACAAATTGTGCTGTCACTCTGTATGCCATGCTGCTGTTTTATATTATCAGTGGGATTGTTATAGCTGTTGTGGCTTTACAAGCATGTTGTTATAACTTGCACATCAAAATAAAGAATAAAACCAATAAATAAAACTCCAATGGGCAAGTTATAAATACAGCTCAGTATTTTCACACACAAAAACTTGACAAGGGTATACTAAGAGTGTCATTCTGTACTCCAAAGATATAGCACAATTTAGTGTCTCTCTCTCTCTCTCTCTCACACACACAGTAACAAATATTAAGTTTACATAATATACTACTAAATTGCAATGTGCATGTAAAATAAAAAGCGAACATAAAATACCATAAACTTTGAAAGAAATTGGTGATAAATGGCTGTATAAGGCACAAAACCTAAAAATATTTATTCTGCACTATCCTAAATCCTTATAGTTTTTATTGTATGCAATTAGGCTGATGTTTACTATAGTCCTTGCTACCGCCCAGGAGTAATGGGAGTTTGAGCATAGGGCTTAATTTTGTATGTTTGTAGGGCTCAAAACATACCATATGATAGACGCCACAATGTCTAATTTTCATAAATGGTATGCCTTTATGGGGTAATTTTAACTATCGAATTACTACAATGCCCCAAAATGTGGAATAGGCCTGTCAAATTTATTTAACAAAATTCTAAATGTAAAAACTGAAATCAGGTCCCTTATATGGCAAAGGTTAAAGGATCTTAACATGTATAGCTTGGAGGAAAGACGAGACAACACTGTAAAGGAGGAGACTATATTTAAAAGAAGAAAAACTACCACATAGTCTTAAATTAGAGGGGAAAAGGTTTAAAAATAACATCAAGAAGTATTACTTTACTGAAAGGGTAGTGGATGCATGGAATAGTCTTCCAGCTGGAAGTGGTAGAGGTTAACACAGTAACGGAGTTAAGCATGTGTGGGATAGGCATAAAGCTATCTTAGCTATAAGAACAGGCCAGGGACTAATGAAAGTATTTAGAAAATTGGGCAGACTAGATGGGCCGACTGGTTCTTATCTGCCGCCACATTCAATGTTAAGTGCCAAAGGAATATAATGGGGGTATTGTTTTATTCAGAAGAGTTTATATATTCTATAAACCGGAAGGAAGATCTAATATATTTCACTTTGTGGCCTGTTACAGCACAGAATTTGATTTGAATATATTTATTTGTTGTCAAATGGGAGAATTTAAGTTTGGTGTTTTTATTAGTTTATTTTTGTACCTTTTCATTTATGCTTCCCAAGTCCTAAATTAAATTCTATAAGAATTGAATTGCTAATGACCATGCATGCTTCATAGCCATTTTATAAACCCTTTAAAGTGATTTAATATTGGTAATCCTTCTGGTTTGCTATGCAGGGTGAATTATTTAGATTGGTTTTAGATTGACCGAGCAATCATTTTCATCTTACTCTTTAAATATTATTACAGTGTAGCTGTTTGGTAGTAATCAGATTGGTAGCATCCAATGACTTCTTGTATCGCAGATAAGTTGAAGTCATTTTGGTAAAATGTATCCAGGCAAGATTAGTGGAGCTGCTAAACCTTTATGGTACCTATCATTCTTCATCTTTCCTGTCCAGAAGACGTTATTTCAATGCTGTGCTTTTAATGTTGGCCCATATTTGGCAGGCAAATGCTTTATCTAGAACCACCTGTAGTTTTGTTGTGTGTGTGTGTGTGTGTCCAACACAAATGTAAAACCTGGCCACGAAACAGCTGATTACCTGTTTGTCCATTTATTATCCTCTACTCAAGTAAAGGAACAATTTACAAAAAACAATAAATCTCAAAATTATAAACATTTTATATATCCATCGAACCTTGTAATGTTAGTAATTTCATTTCAGATTCCAGTGGGTTAAAATTCAAACACGAAATAAATTAATTTGTGTAATTTTTCAAATCTCTATGGACTGCATTGTATGTAATGGTTTTTACCTTCTGATAATCGCTTTATTTTTGTGTCTTTACAGGAAATTTTCCCTGGACAGTTTCAGCCATCTCTCTGTCACAAGTTTATCGCCATGTTGGATAAGGAGGAAAAACTCCTCCGAAATTATACCCAAAATATAGATACACTGGAACAAGTTGCAGGAATTGAAAGAATTATACAGTGTCACGGTGGGTATTTTAATTCTTACACACTGTAGAAAATACAACTGTGATTTTTTTTTTTGATTTTTTACTTCTTTGCTGCACCCCGAGTATATAGTTCCCCTGGATTTCTCATATCTGGGATTGATTGTATGGATTTTGGCAGGGCTCAAAATTTCCACTCTTCGCTTGCGATTTGCCATTAAGTAGAAATTCACCCGTGGTGAGTGTGCATCAACCCTCAAGACTTGCAGTGGCAAATGCATTTTAGAATTTTGAACCCTAGAACCCTGGATTATGAGTCTTTTATTTTGTATTTTGCGTGGTGAATGGGTGTGTTGTGACGTTTGCTAGTACTGCAGCACTAACACAGAGTGGACATTCTGGTAGGTCGATTTAATTATTTATTTTTTTTTCATATATAATTTATATAATTATTTTTCTCCCAATGTCAAGGAATTGGTGCAATGCAACTTGACTTTCACAACTGTAGATCTCCATTAACTAGCACCAAGCCTTGAGCTATGGCAATAATTGTACTGGATATATAAATTGCTTGGCTACATAGGAGTTTAAGAACTTGTCAATGAAACTATTTTCGATATTGACACTATTGGAAGCTGTTGGTAACCTGGCTTCATAGTGGGGCACTTTGCAATGATGTAGTGATTTGTAATCTGGAACAAGTGTTCTCTGTATTAGACCATTGATTAAACAAATCTACATTGTAATATCCTGTATCACAAGAAAAATAAAACGCATTTCTCATTTTCATATATCTGGGGAAAAAGCATATAGTGCTTAATATGAATTTTGTGCCTCTTACCAAAGAACCTACCATATGTTTTGAATTAAATACATATACTTTTATTTTAGGATCTTTTGCTATGGCATCTTGTCTAATATGTAAATACAAGGTTGACTGTGAAGCTGTCCGAGAAGACATTTTCAATCAGGTAAAAACACTTTCAATTATTTTGTAGAATAATAAATTTTTCTCAAATGTATAGCTTTGAAAATAAATAAAGCCCTTCCTTTCAATTTTAGCTGCTTAATATTCAAGACAAGATATTCAAAATACAGTATAGTAAAATCATTAATAGGAAACAAGTATTTTTGCTCATGACTATAACAATTTCTATATGTCCTATACTAAGAATTTGCATCTACCCCATTTACAAACCACTCTTTTATTTTTGATATTTTAACTTTAAATATGTTGCTAACTTTTTATTTTATAGATTGTTCCAAGATGCCCAAGGTGTTCAGCAGATGAGCCTCTTGCCATTATGAAACCTGATATTGTGTTTTTTGGTGAAAATTTACCAGAGCAGTTCCACCGAGCCATGAAATACGACAAAAACGAGGTTGATCTCCTTATTGTTATTGGATCTTCATTGAAAGTAAGGCCGGTCGCTTTAATACCAAGTAAGTATTGTTGCGTATTCATGAGTCACACTCGGATAATTCACTATAACAACATTTCACACTATAACATACATAAGTAACACATATGAAAGAATTGTTACTATGAATAATGGGACAAAAAAAATCTAATTCTGAGACTGGTCATAAATACGTTATATATTTATGTACTAACATCATATCAGCATCTTGGATTACCCCTATATTGATCATCTGGAGAAAGAAATATAAAAAATACGCCCTCCTAAACCTTTTTAAGCCAGTGATATTGTCTAAATGGGTTAAGTCCTAACATTTGGTTGATTTGATGTGGTAAGCTATTTCCAAGACAGAAGCTATTTGCTATGCAAGGTCTGTGGTATATTCACTGTAGTATTTTATGCTTCGGTAGGCTTAAAGCTGCTCTGTCATTTATTTTACTTTTTTTTCCCATTTCTTTCATTTTTCCTTTCATTATTCTTTGTATCCTAATGATTACACTTCTATCTTTGCCCTTTTTTTTTAATCTTTATCTTTACTTCCTCTTGCTGGATCTTAATACTGGCCCCAGTGGGGCATCAGACAACATGGGGGTTAAAGAATAATCAATGCCGTAGACTGGCCGCCTCCATTTTGTTATCCTCTGTCCAGGAATTCTGCAGTCTTCTCTTCTGTGGGATTCTTTTAACTGATGGCTTGTGGGTAAAATAACTGAAATTTAACTTCTCCTCCGATTGCCAAATTTTGCCAATTATCATGCTCCCCATGAGCAAAAGTAGTCTCTGCTTTTTCTTATGCATAACTAAAACTGAAAAATTAGACAAATAATTTAAAAGCAAAACCTTCAAAGTAACAGCCGCTTTAACACGTAGATGCCCAATCATTAAAAAAAAAAAACTGTTTAATTACTAACCTAAGTTAGAAACCTATTTTTGCAATTCCAGTGTTTAAGCACTTTCAAGCAAAAAAAAAAAATCTGTATCAAAATATTGAAGAGGAAAAAAAAAAATTCAGAATATAAAATCATTTTCAAATTGTATCTAATATTAAATTATATCTAAAGCTTATCGAACAATGTTAAAAAGAGGCCAAATTTGGATGGAAAAAACAGGGGCTGCCGACTATTCAGCTAAACTGAATGGGCTGCACTCAAAGACAATGTAATGTAACAAACTGTTATAGCAGCTAAATGACAAAGTATTTAGGACGAAAGGTTAGATAACATTGTGTATTGTTGCATATAATTTATTTTCTTTTTTATTTTAGGTTCAATCCCTCATGAAGTGCCTCAGATTTTAATAAATAGAGAGCCATTGCCTCATCTTCATTTTGATATAGAACTGCTTGGGGATTGTGATGTTGTTATAAATGAGTTGTGTGAGAGACTAGATGGCAAATACAAACAACTTTGTTCGAGTTCTTTAAAACTTTCACAAATCACAGAAAAGCCTACTCGTCCTAACAAGATGCTTCCTGTTCTACCAGAGACTCTTCTATCTTCTTCCTTACACACGGGGTGTGATTCAGGCAACTTGCTCCAACCTGATCCCTCACTGACTGAACCCAATAATAACTGCAAATCATCAGAACCCGACAAGACCATGGAATGTTCAAAAGGCTGTGTTGTTGAAAATACTGAAACACTTAATGAAGAGAATACAGAAAGTCAAGGCACTCTTTCACAATCTGAACTTTCTGATTCCACTGAACAAGAAATGCAGCCTAGCAAGGAGGGGCAACCCGAAAAGTCTGAAAAAGAAAGTAGTGATCCATCCAAGAAGACGGTGGTAAACAAACTAGCAAAAGAGCAGATAAGCAAGCGCCTTGATGGTAAGACTGGTTTGATTACAAAACTGAACACATAATTGTATTTATTGTTTGTATTATTCTTCAGCAGGCTGGGAAAGCATTTGTTTACCATGCTTTGCTCAAAAACTGTTCTAGAGGGGACCAACAGCACCACCAGCCTGCTGAAGAACATCTTCATAGTTGGACCTCTAGCTGGTTCAGCTATAGAGGTTCTGTATTTTAGAACTCAGTTGTCAGATCTCTGGGCCCAATGCCTTTTTTTCCAGGCAGAAGGTAACGGAATATACCTCTGCACACTACTTGCCTCTTTGGATTACTCTCTCATACTACTTCAACCAACATAAAATTATGTGATCAAGATCTGACAGTGTTCCAGAGTTATGAATGGACGTGTGGAAGTTCCAGAATATAATCCTGTGTAAGCGACACTATTTTATTTGTTTAATATTTTTGTAGTAGGACTGCAACATTCTCTCTACAGACTAATGGATTGTCCTGAAATATTGATTAGAATTGGAATGTGAAATGAGAAATAATCACTACAAACAAAACTTTGCTCTATATTTTTATTCATCTTCCTCAAAATACTGTAGCTTGATCAATTTAATGTGTGTGCTAGAACTTTCAAATGTCAGGTTAAATTGAATAACCCATAGTTTTATACACCCATTTAAAATAATTACATTATTATGTATCCAAACTGCTACAAATGCTCATTCAGGTTTGTGTTTTTGAATATGTTCTGCTTCTAAAACCTGTCTGATTTTGTTGTATTAAGTTTTCTTAGATTTGTTTAGTATCTGGTGGCTGACAGTCCTAAGACCTGCAGTTCAGAAATAAATGGTTAGACTGAAATTTTGGCACAGTAGATCAAAAACCTTTCCTCTAGGTTGCGTAGAAACAGCAGTGATCATTGTGTGTGTGTACAATGTAACTTTTAAAGCTTTATTATGTGCAACGGAAGCAAAGATTAATACCAACTTTTTTACATATTTAAAGAGGAAACTAAATATTTTAAACTGTAGATTCTCTTGCTAATGGCCCCCACGTGTGCTTTTTAAAAAAAACTATTACTGATTGGCCAGTTTCTGTGCATTTGTAAATTAGTCCCTTCTTAATTCTCTAGTGAGAATGTGCAAATTTTGTTTTACCGGGTCATTATAGTCACCAGAACAACTACAGCTTAATGCAGCATTTTGCCCCGCATGCACAATAGCCTCCCGGTGCTTTTCTATGGGAAAGCATTGGATTGGCTGAGATAGTCAGATTTGATAATTGCAGCCATCCTCAACGAAACCTGTGCAGTGCTGGGGGAAAAAAGGATTTATTTATTTTTAGAAGAGGGGGGAGGAGTGAGGCCAGCCCACCTAAACTGCAGTTTTACAACTATAGAGTCAAAAATACATGTTTGTATTCCTAACGCATAGTGTTTCTTTAAAGATCTAATTGATGGTCAGAAGTGAGGTAAATATCTTTTAACTGTGTGAGCATTGTGGTTGGCTAGCAAACAAATTGTGTTTTAAAAAAATAATAATAAAATAATCCGTGAGCTTTAACCCCTTTACGGCGTTCTATGCCGTCCCAATTATAATGGGCTTTAAAGCCGTTGCGGCGGCATTGACTTTTTAACCCCAGGATCGCTGCAGTACTTTCCTCCACTGCGATCCGCTTTGGGAGGACTGCCTGACAAATCCAGCCCCCGGGGGCCATGTGATCAATCTGATATATCTTGTATATATGTAACATCATACGTAGTGTATTTTTAACATTAAGAACATATATTAGTATTAAAATACTAGTATGAAGATATATATAGAGAGAGAGAGAGAGAAATAAAATAAAATAAATGAAAACAAATTTTTTGAAAATTTACATATACATATGTCATTTCATTCTAACTGTATTTTGGGGGGTGTGTGTATGTGTATATATATGTGTGTGTATATATACACACACACACAAATTTGGAACAAAATACACTTAGAATGACATTCTATATATTAAATATATATATATATATTACATAAGTATACATGTAGAATTTAAATACATATGTATATATTAAAATTCTGCGTGTATACTTACATAATCTTTTAACATAATTATGCGATTTTATTAATTCAAATTTGATTGACGTGCCTGACAACCCAGGCAGAAAGTGCAGAGAATTTAATTTGCAAGCACTATGTTTAACCCTTTAACTTTCCAAGACACCATAAAACCTGTACATAGGGGGTACTGTTTTACTCGGTAGACTTTGCTGAACACAAATATTAGTGTTTCAAATGGTAAATTGTATTACAACAATGATATTTTCAGTAATAGTGAAGTTTTTTGCATTTTTTTTTTTTTTTTTTACACATGAACAGCACTTTTTACTGGCGATATTATTGTTATACATTTTACTGTTTTAAAACACTAATGTTTGAGTTCAGTGAAGTCTCCCAAGGATAACAGTACCCCCCATGTACAGGTTTTGTGGTGTTTTGAAAAGTTAGAGTCAAATATAAGGATTGCATTTCATTTTTTTTCACATTGAAATTTGCCAGTTTGGTAATGTTGCCTTTAAGACTGTTTGTGACTAAGAGGCTACTATAAAAGACTGGACATGCCCACTTGCAACACATTGGGTTGTCTACTTTTGCAAATAGTATGCCATCATGGGGGTAATTCTCATTCCTTGGCTACCACACTGTCTCAAAGATAACATTACTAAACTGGCAAATTTCAATGTGAAAGAAATTAAAAATGTAATGTTATATTTAACCCTGTAACTTTCCAAAACACCATAAAACCTGTATGTGGGGGGTACTGTTGTAATCGTGAGACATTGCTGAATACAAATATATGCATTAAATGTTTTTTTTGTTTATATGTATTTGTGTGTTTTATATACATTTTATATTTTCTTTTTATTTTCAGGTACACAATATTTATTTTTATCGCCGAATCGCTACATTTTCCATGGGGCAGAGGTTTTTTCAGATTCTGATGACGATTTGTCATCCAGTTCTTGTGGAACAAATAGTGACAGTGAATCTTTACACAGCCCGAGTTTACAAGAGCCGGTCGAAGAAGAAAGTGAGAATGAAGATTTCTACCATGTTAAATACGATAATGACTCTGATACAGAAAATAGGGTAGGCTTCGAAGATGAGGCCGGAACAGTTGTCATTTATGATGACGATTTAGCTAATGGTGGTTCGTCTGAAAAGGTATAATAAACACTTTCCTTGACCTGTTTTGTGCTTGAGAGTTGGCACTCTGTGGTACATAGTCTCTGGCACTCTAAAAGTTATGTTCCATTAACACCAGCATTAAACAAATTTTAAACCTGGAGATACAAAGCATGTAAAAATTTTGAAATAAGCGCATGCGAAAAAAGTTATTTAAAAAAAAAACGTCCAAGAACAGATTGTTATAAGAATTATTTGTTTTGTTTAAAGGAAGATTTTCTATTGACACTAAACCATTCTGTCATTATTTTTGTATCGTTCTGCTTGCTTTTTTTTTTTTTTCTTCACAGTGCTTTCTGGTAAAAATGCAGATACAGTATTGTGGTTTTTAATTTATGCATAGTTAAATGTTTATTTTCATTCAAAGTTTCTTGTACAAGGTATTTAAAATTGAGGTTCATATTAAAGGAAACAGCTATTACAGGCCAAAGACAAAGTATGTCTTTTTTTTTTTTTTTTTCTCTTTTCTAACAGGATATCACACTGTGATAGAACACATTTTTACATATATATTTTTTTTTTTTTTTTCTTGTTCTTCCATTTTCTTGGGGTTTATTTTTTTTTTGTATTTTACACCTTCTACATTTTCTAATTCACTATTTGAATTGGGTTTTATTTTTTATTTTATAATCTGTGTAGTATGAGTATTAAAAATATAACATGATATTTGCTAAGATGTTTCATGATTTTCTGCCCTTTTGATAGACTGGTATCCATATGCCTCATCAATACAATTTTTAAAAGCGTAAACAATATGATTATATATAAATAAATGTATGTGTTTCCTTAATGTCAATGTGATGCAACTCTGGTATAAGGAAATTAAATTGAAATGTCAACTTTTTTTGTTTATTTGAGAAAACGTGCCTAATTTATTTTTATTTTGGTTTAGATTGTCTTTGTGGGTGGAAACCAGTGTTTTGTGGTAGAATTTGGCTCTGTTTTCATTTCAATGAAAATTCTATCATGATATTAATATGCAATTTTCTTGTAGTAAATGTTGATATATTTTTAATGTTTTGTAATTGTTATTTATATGTTCCATTATTTTCGTGTACAGTATTACATTTGAAACCTTCATTTCTTTAGGACATTTTATTCTTTTGCAAAATATAGCTCACCGACTAAATATTTTTTTTTTTTTTTTATCTAGAAGAAAAGCTACAAAGTTTTATTAACTGTCATAATATATTCAAATTCTTCTAAACCATATAAAAATGTATCCTCATTTTGTATGGTTTTTCTTTAACGTGAAAAGCATGATTTTTAAACCTACAAAAATTTGTATTGTTTTAGCAATCAATAAATTTTAATTTATTAGAGAAAACAAATCTGTCTATACTATGGTATTAAATAGTCTGAAGATAGCATTTTGACGTTATTCAGCTCTGTTCTTTGTAGTAGAGGACACTGTGACATTTCCTCGATCTAACATTTACCAAACCTAAAACCAATACTTCTAGTATGTTTTATACTGGTTGAACTACATTACAATGCAGCTATCAACTAATTTCCTCCTATCTTATTATATAGTAGCTTTAGCATCTACATCTTATCCTGTCAATGATGTTTAGATTGGTATACACTACATTTAAATTGAAACGTCCACCATCCATGAAAATGAAAAAGGATGACATTTCTACTGTTATAGTTTAAGCCCAAAGCTACAAGTCGTCATGAAAAATAAAAATAGGCTATTCCTACCATGTTTACTGTCACGTTAAGCATGACTGCAATGGTGACGGTGGAAAGGACACCTCCTCACGGCTGTCAAACTCCCTCTTCTAAGTTGCCTGTGTTTATTTAGTCTGACTTCACACAACTTGGCCCGAGCTCTCTCACTCCCAGAATAGGGCCAGACCATGTGTGGACCGTCTATCCCAATTGAGTTAAAAATGCAGCAACAACAATGAAGTTATTTTGAGGGATTGAGTTTGTGTCCCACTGTCTTACCTAAGGATGTCATATTTTTTGTTTTCAATTTGTATTTTATTGGAATTTGTGCATCTAAAAAAAAGGACAAGATCAGTGTGTGAAAATATAGGACAAGTTGGTACAATATCACGACAGATCGTGGGTTCAAGGTTTCTAGGTCTCAATTGACACTATGCTAATATAGTCACATGGTGAATGTGGCAGAAAAACTACTGTAAGTTGCTATTATATCAAGCCGCTTATATGAACCTATTCTGCAATGGTATTAGAGAGGACAGGAATATAGTGGTATGATAGCTCTCTCCCTATGACTTCTATTAGGCAACATAGTTTGCTCAAACTAAATATATGTACAACGAAGTAGGAATAAAAAAAAACAGGTAAACAAATTATAACAAACAGATTTTGGACAGCACACCGTGCATATTCAGACATTGTCTGATATGCAATAGGCTGGTAAGAGCATTCTATACATGCTTTATGTCTGAGTTCCTGGCGGCAGAGCCTCCTCTTTGTGCAGCGGGGATGTGCAATCTTTCTAGCATTGCGCCAAGGTGAGTGGTATCGCCCTGCAATGTTATAAGGGAGACTTTATTTCCCCAGCAGTACTTGCTCGCAGCCTCTCGTAGTCTATCAGGGGACAGTTGCTTACTCCGCAATACAGCGAACAGGAGGTCACTATAGATTGGAATTGTGCAGCCTTCAAAGTGAATATTCCCAAGCTCACTGGAGTGGGACATGATGGCAGAGTGCAAAATCCCTGGTTACCAATATAGTCTGTCTGGGTGTTCCTGATTTGAATGACAGCAGCTTTGCTTACTCTAATGGTGAGGGGAGCAGCAGTGGTTGGATGGCGCTCTCCTTAAAGCCAGTGGGAGTAAGCATTCTCTGGATGAAAGGCAGCAAGGTGTCCCGTGCAACATTCTCTGGAATGCCTCTGGGTCGACTATTATGCAGACTGTACCTGGATTCCAAAGATGTGACTGTCCAGCTGAGTTTGTGGATTTGCTGAGACAGGTCATCTCCCTGGCTTTATATCCTTTGCACCCAGCTACCGGGCATCTTCTCTTGACTCTACTGCGTTGATCTTCTGCCTGAGCACCACCTACTCCGTTTGCGCGTCTTTAAAGTCTGCTTTCCAAACCTTTTTTATACAAGTGCAGTAAGAGTTTTTTAATATCGCCTTTAGTGGCCGGAGAGGGGTCCTCATTGGAAACTCCTGCTACACTTGTTGGAAGCAAGGGAAGTGCCTTGCTCGCCTCTTGGGATCCTCATGAGGCCTCATCTTCACTCCATACCTTCTGTGCCATCATGGCGGTGGTGCTGGAGTAGGCCTCTCAAAAGAGAAACATATATCAGGCAGTTTTGTGATTTTAGAGTGGCGGAGTTTAAGTCTGTGCTCAGTGTTGTTATCTGTTTGGATGTTTGGGAGCTTTTGGGTAAATTTTAATGTCTTTAGTCCATAGGCTATGATGGAACTACTCTAGAACACATCTAAGCAGTTAGTCAGCCACGCCCTAGGTTTAAATTTTTTAAAGTTTTACCACCGAAGATGCTACCTGGGCACCTGTCCATGCTCACGTGTCACTTTCCTGCTCGGCCAACAAACTGAGCAGTGAAGAGCATTGTGGAGAAGCATTAGGAACTGAGAGCATGACAAACTGTTACTCTGTAGGCAACCAGTGAAAAAATTAGATTAATTTGTTTTCACGGAAGAAAGTCTCTTTTTAGATATTTGATAGGTCTTGGCATGTGTTTATACACTGCTCAGTCGCTGACTTCACTGAATAAGCTGAACTACCAGAAGAAAAGCAGCCTCTGTTAGAAGATATCTAGGCAGACCCGTAGTAAGTATATAATTGCATACTTTAACATTTTAAGGAAATAGTAAAACTTATTTTTCCATAATCCTAATAAAAGCTTTGCTACTCTACATATTGCAGTCATCCAAACCAGGTATGCTAGGTATACATGCTTTCGAATATGGTTTGATTGCTGGGGCATTTAATTAGGAGTATACACCTCTACGTTTCAGGTAATTACATGCAAAGCACAAGCTATGTCATATTTCCAATAAAAACAAGTAAAAATGAAAGTTGGAGCAAATATAACATGTACTGTTTCACTATTTAATTATTTTAACTTTCGGGTTATAAACACCTCAGGGTATCCGAACCCAAGTAACTGCCATGGACTTTCGCTACAACCACAGATATTTTCCTCATATAGTGGCAGTCCTGCAAACAAGTGGTTTGTGCCTTCTGCTGTGGACGAGAAGCTCCACCCCCCTAAATTTAAATAAGATCCCGCCTGCTGCCCTTACAATCCCCGTACCTCCAAGGTTCCCCAGTTCTTCTTGTCCCGGCAGACTTGATGGACAGGCTCCTCCAGACATGGATGTTGAAAGATCGGTGCGTCAGCACAGGTTGCTGACCGGGTAGGTGAGTGCCTGAAAGCTCTCCAGGTGGGAGCTGAGTGGCAGAGGCTTCCGATCCAGAACGCGACTGGAAGCCGGCTTATGTGGCCAGATCCTGGGAGTCCCAGGCAGACCTCCCACTATGCAGGACGGACGCCCAGGAGGTGTTGCGTTGCACTGAAGTTCCGATCGCGCTACTGCACATGCGCAGAGCGGAAACTTGAAAAATTGACGCAAAGTTTCAAATATTTTGCTATAAAAACTGTGGGTTGGTTGCTAAAACAGGTACTGTGTCACCAGCCCTCCTACACCATGGTGCGTTTTTTGAGGTGGGAATTTACTTTAAATCTCCCTTGAAAATGTAATCTTTGTTTGCACGCCTCCTAAATTTAGAAAATGTGTGTTTTTTTTTTTTTTTATTCTCATTTGTCTTTAACAGAATATGTCCAGTCCTGCTTCACCGGATAAAGCTGAAAAGTCTAAGTTGTCAGCTCCTATCAGTAAAAAGGCCATATGCAAAACAAAACACTTGTGTTAATCAGACTGTGCGGTCTCTCTTCCTGACGTGTAGAAAAAAGACCTGTAAGCAATGCTCAGCGGAATTGCTGGAAAAATCCAGGCAAATGGAAATTAACTAATTTCCTGTGCTGGTTCCAGGAGAATTTATTCCAAACCTTTGAGTCATTTAAGGAAAAAAGACAGCGGGTCTGTTAATATTCAAGAAAGACAGATAAAGACACGACGGCAAAAAAAAAAATCACAATCCCTGTCTGAGCTCTCATCAGGTGAATGTTCATCATCTTCGTTTTCGGAAGTATCCATTCTGGCCTCAAGTGTGGATGAGGGATTTCCACCAGAGGAAATAAAGAAATCTAGGAAGTTTCTGCGGATGTTCAGGAAAATTAACCTACCAGGGGTAAGGTAAAAGATTTTCCTGTGCACCCAAAGGTTATGAAACTGCTACAGAGAGAGTGGAAAAACCCAGAAAGACATGCATCATTTCTAAACACTTCAAACAACTTCTCAAAGTGGGAAGACCTTCCAAAAGTTGATATCCAAGGGATGCAATTATCAAAGAAAACCACAATCCCAATTGGTGAGGTTTCTGGTTTAAAGGGATCCCATGGACAAGTGGGCCGAAACATGGAGCAGAAGAATTTTTCAGGCCACAAGTTAACAGTGCATAGCCGAAATCTCTGGTTCTGCATTACTAAAAGCCCAAGGCACGTGGCTACAAGCCTTGTAAGAGGCCCTTATGAGAAAAGTCAGGTCAGAAAAAGACCCAGCTCAGCTGTTGTATCTTCTGAAACTTTCAAATGAATTTTAATCAGATGTCCCTGATGAGATACTTCGATTATCTGCACGGATAATGGGCTTCTCCTCGGTGGCCAGAAGAGCCTTGTGGTTCAGAACCTGGACTGCGGATTCAGCTTCAAAATCTGCTCTATGTGAACAACTTTTTTTCAAGAGGAACAAATTATTGGCAGTCCTCTGGAAGAAATAATTAAACAGATGTCTGAAACCAAAAAGGCATTGCCTCAGGATTCCAAATATTCAGGCTCTCATGCCAACAAAAGATCTCCGTTCAGTGGACAGCGTTCCTTTCGCTACCAAGAGAAATTTAGTAAATTTTGCAAACAGAACAGAGACGCCAGATTTAGTGATCAAATTAAACAGAAAAGATATTGACGCCAAAAGAGTGGGAGGCAGTCTTCAGTTCTTTACTCAGAAATGATAGGATACGACATCAAACAATTGGATAATAAAGACCATATCAGAGGGATACAGAATACATTTTTCAACGGTGCCAAACCCGTTTTTTTCTTCTTTCAAATTATCCATTACAAAAGAAATCAGAGGCCCTCGTAGTAGAAGCCCTGCTTCTTTTACACAAGGGTGTTTTAGAAAAAGTACCCAGACATCAAGAATTCCAGGGAGTTTACTCTCACCTGTTTTTAGTTCAGAAGACAGACAAGTCCTACCGTCCTATCCTGGACATCAACAATGTAAACACATGCATCCCTTATCAGAGGTTCCTTATGGAAAATATTTTGTCAGTCACACACATCCTGCATAAAGGAGAATCTATGGCAAAGTTAAACTTGAAGGATGTCTCGAATTCCTAAGGTTTGCAATACAAACTGGAAAAAGAAAGATTCTACACTTTACGTTTCTGGGCCCTACCTTTCGCATCTTTACAAAGATCTTGGTTCCTTGAGCAGCAACCTTATTCTAAGAGGTATGACAATAATTCCTTAGCTGGACGATTGGTTCTTGAAAGCAGAATCAAAACATTGTCTTCTGTTAGACCTCAAAAACACAAGGATGGTTTTTAAGAGAGCACGGTTGGCTTTTAAACCTTTAGAAATCTCAGATGATTCCTTCAACAAGGATGGAATTCCTGGGGCTTCTGTTGGATTCAACGTCTCTATCTCTTTTTCTTCCTATGTCAAAACAAAAAAGAATTATAAATGCAATTTCAAGCTTGCAAAAGAAAGTTTGCACCATCAGACAGGCCATGAGTGTCCTGGGCCTTCTCAAAAGCAGAAATCAGACCTTTACAATGGAACATTCTAACAGAATTTTACTTACCGTAAATTCCTTTTTCCTTAGTATAGTGGCAGTACTGCCGGTTCCCTCTTCTTGTTTTGGTGTGGATTAATTATATTCACAGTATATGGTCCCCGTTTGGTTCTTCCTGTCATTTGAAATACAATCCGTTCGCATTTTCAAACCCTTCTCTGCTAACATTGCTGTTGCTTATCATCCCCCTGGTTCCCCTCTTCTCTTCCTTGACCACTTTGCTGCCTGGATACCCTATTTCCTCTCTTCTAACATTCCATCCCTAATTCTCGGGGACTTCAATATTCCTATTAACCCACTTTTGACCTCTGCAGCCTCTAAACTACTTTCAGTTACTTCCTCCCTCGGGCTATCACAGTGGGCTAATTCTCCCACCCATGTTGCTGGCAATACCCTTGACCTAATCTTCACTTATGCATTTACAGTATCTAATATCTGCAACACTCCATTTCCGCTCTCTGATCACCACCTCTTATCATTTGCTCTCGTGTACCCCCTCACCCATCAACCTCAGCCTAACCCCCCTCAACTCAGGAGGGACCTTAATTCTCTTGCTCTTCAGCAGTTGTCAGCTGATATTGATTCATGACTGCTGTCTATCCCTGCCATCTCCGTATATAACACTACCCTCACCTCTGCCTTGAACACTGCAGCACCACTCCAAACAAGCACCTCAAGGAGGACCCGCCCCCAACCATGGCATACTAAAGCAACACGCTACCTGCAAATATGCTCCCGTTGTGCCGAATGCTCCTGGAGGAAGTCTCACACCCAGTCAGACTTTCTCCATTATAGATTCATATTGTGTTCATACAGCGCAGCCCTTGCCCTTGCCAAACAGTCCTACTTTTCCTCTCTCATTAGTTCATGCTCCCTCAATCCCAGGCATCTCTTTGACACCTTTAATTCTCTTCTTCGCCCTGCTGTGGCCACCCCCCCAAACTAACCTTACTGCTGATACCTTTGCATGTTACTTTACTGACAAGATTGGACAGCTAAGGAAAGAATTCTCCCCTCCTTGCCATTCTGTTTCTCAACCACACATAGATCATGCCTTTCCTACCCTTCAGACATTCTCCCCGGCTACTGACCAAGAGGTGGCTGCTCTTCTCTGTTCCTCTCGCCCCACCACCTGCCTGCTCGATCCTGTCCAATCTCACCTTATTAGATCTTTCTCTACTTGTCTTGTGCCTTCCTTAACACACATCTTCAACTGCTCTCTCTCTTCTGGCATTGTCCCTGCTGACCTTAAACATGCCACTGTAGTACCTATACTAAAAAAAAATCCCTCGACCCGTCCACCGCCTCTATCGTCCCATATCCCTGCTTCCTTTTTCCTCAAAGCTTCTGGAAAGACTTGTCTTTACCCGTGTGTCTCATTTCCTCAATTCCAACTCTCTCCTTGACCCTCTTCAATCTGGCTTCCGCCCTCTCCACTCTACTGAGACTGCGCTTATCAAAGTTACAAACGACCTAATCATTCAGTGTCTCTTTTTCTAATGATACCTCCTCCCCTCATCCTGTCTCGGTTGAAGTCCCCCAAGGCTCTGTCCTTGGTCCCCTTCTGCTTTCTCTTTATACAGTCTCTCTTGGCAAACTTATTACCTCTTTTGGATTCCACTACCACCTGTACGCTGATGACACCCAGTTATCTCTCCTCCCCGGACCTCTCCCCTGCCGTCCTGCAACGTGTCACTGCTTGCCGTTCTTCCATCTCTGACTGGATGTCCTCCCGCTTTCTGAAACTCAATCTCTCTAAAACTGAGCTCCTTGTCTTTCCTCATCCTAATACTTATTCTCCTCTTTCGCTCTCCCTTCAAGTTTGTGGTACCCACATCAGTCCATCCTTGCAAGCGCGCTGTCTTGGCGTCATACTTGATTCTGGCCTCACCTTTGAGCCTCACATCCAGCATGTTGCCAAATCCTGTAGATTCCATCTTCAAAACATAGCCCGCATCCGCCCCTTTCTTGCACCAGATACTACCAAGGAGCTTGTCCATGCTCTAGTAATTTCCCACATGGATTATTGTAACCCTCTCCTGATTGGTCTTCCCAAAAGCCGTACTGCACCGCTACAGTCCGTAATGAACGCTGCTGCCAGACTGATTTTCCTCTCCAGTCGGTTCTTTCACACCTCACCCCTCTGCCAGTCCTTACATTGGCTTCCTGTATGCTATAGGAGTCAATTCAAGGTACTAATTCACACCTATAAAGCACTGAACAACTCTAGCCCCTCTTATATCTCCTTACAGATCCATAGGTATGTCTCTTCTCGGTCTCTCTGCTCTGCCTGTGACCACCTCCTGTCCGTCGTCCGCACCCGTACGGCCAACTCACGCTCGCAGGACTTATCAGACTCTCACCTAGTCTTGCATCTTTTAAGAAGTGCCTTAAAACCCATCTTTTTAGGAAAGCTTATGGCCTCCCTGAGTAACCTCTACCTCACATACCTGTCTCTTGCTCTCTCCTAAAGGGCAGCCCACCTTATTTGACTGTAAATTCCTGTCCTAATGTGTTTTACACCCCCCCTCCTATAGAATGTAAGCTCCATTGAGCAGGGTCCTCTTCAACCTATTGTTCCCGTAAGTTTATTTGTAATTGTCCTATTTATAGTTAAATCCCCCTCTCATAATTTTGTAAAGTGTTACGGAATCTGTTGGCGCTATATAAATGGCAATAATAATAACTGGGGAAACTTGGAGATACAGGGATTATAAGGGCAGCTGGCGGGATCTCAATTAAATATTTAAATTTAGAGGGGGAGCTTTTTGTCAACAGCAGAAGGCACAACCCACTTGTTTGCGTTACTGCCACTATACTAAGGAAAAGTGAATTTACGGTAAGTAAATAATTTTTTTATTTTTTTTGCTTTATTTCTCAGATCTCTATTCAGCACTGGGAATACTCAATGAAGTCACACTACTCAGATGTAGTATCAATAAGCATTCAAAGGTTTTAATACGTAGTACTTCATAAATATATAAAACACAGTTTGCCTAGTGGTGTATACATCAACGGCGACATTAACCAATCATGGAAGTCTCAAAACCGAAAACATAATTTTTTCTGTAACATTTTGCAATGTTGTTAGTCTCCTGTTCACTGGTGCAAGTGACAGTATGAGATTTAGGAACCCAATTAAGAATTGCAGATGTTGGAAAGAATGCTATGTTTTGCAAGTGTAGGATGTTACAAAAAACGAGACTGCAAGCTGGTGTCAGGGCACTAGAACAGAAAAATAAATGTATGTTTAAAGAATTCGAATTTAACTCTTTCAAAGCATGAGTAGCTTGTATTATAATCACGTCTACTGCTCATTTGGTCTTTCAAGCTATGTATACAGTAATACGTTAGTTACGTAATAAGAAATACAGCAGGACATGAGACTGTCGCCTAGTAACATAAAATGTATAGCTCTGTTTGTCTAGGAGAATATTCACTAAGCATTGCATAGGTAAAACAATTTTTTTAACAATGTGGTTTACTTTTGGGGGGGGGGGTTGAGAGGGGGTAGGGGTTTACTAAATTTAAGTATGTTTAAAGTTAATTGATGTTACGCAGCTCAACTTGCAGTCATGCTAAGCTTCTAGATGTCTGGTAAAGGTAGCAAAGACTAAGTGTTTTTTTGAATCTGTTAAAGAAAATAAGCTCTGAAATATTGACTCTAACCACTGCAGCAACCAGCATGCAGAAGACAACACCTGAGCAGATGGAAATGTTAGAATGTTTTTTTTTGTTTAGTTTTACATTTTCAATATTCTTCATGGGAGAGTTCTCAACCAGTCCATAAAAATGCTTATGTCTCAAAACCTGTATTTAATGGTTTCATGTTTAAAAAAATATTGGTTACACTACTGGGAAGCAGCTGTACTTCTAAATTAAGAATAACTGCTGCAGCGGACCAGGATCCTACTAATAACATGTAGGTTCCTGTGCTTCCCTAATAGCAAACAACTCTCTTGAACACTCCTACTACTTTAATACTTACCTGACCATTGTGTCCTCAATCCATACACTACCTTAGCCTTAACTTTATCGCTAACAGACTAACACAACTATGGAGATGATTGTAAATTACCCTACATTAAAGGTTACCTGCTTTGTATCCTCTATAAAGTATGTTATTTGACATGGTCTACAATGCAATATGGATTTGGAAACATGATCTTCCTGAAACAATTGGCACTAAATAGATGCAGGAAAAAGATATATAAACATTTATAATTTTTGCATCAATATTTTTTTCCTTTTCCTTAAATTTTTTTTTTTTTGAATTCTTTGTTTTAGATCAAACAGCCAGCATTACATAGTTTGTATGTAAACAACTCATAGAGATACATTAAATATGTTATCAACTTTAAAATTTTAAGTACAAAAGAACTTAAGCATTAAACAAACTGATAAGATCCAATACGTCTTTTACTGGATGTCATTTGAATAAAGTAAAATAAATAAATATACCCCTATGGATACATCTTATGTCTAGGTCTTCCACCAATCGTACCTTATGGACCTTATTTATTTGAGTATTTCAAACCGATGCAGTAATTTTGTCCATATGATAGTTGTCTCAAACCATATAAATCTTTGGAGTATTGACCCTCACCCACACCTGAGCAAAAGCTCTCCTTGCTGCCAAAGTAATAAAATATTATATTTAATATGTATTTAATAACCTTTGTGAATGTGAGGGAAAGTTTTCTATGGATTTTGCAAGCAAAAATGACCAGGGATCCATACCAATGTCAACAGATCTTTAACCATTTTCCAAAATGGAACCAGCTCAGGGCACTGCCACCACATATGGATGTAGGTAACCATCAGGCCACGTCCCATGCAGCACAAATCCGAGTCCTAACAGTTCAAAGTAAACCACTGAAAGAGTGTTGTGTAGGTTCCTGTGATACAATACAGAGATTTCAATGCTACCTCCCAAATGTCCTCCCTGTTGGTGGGCATTGTTTTCTATATGGTAAGTGCAATGCATTTTTAAATATATTTTTTATACTCTTTATCTTCGAAAAAATTTCATAACTGACATATAAAACAACAAATACGGGGGCGGGACCTGACCACAAAGCCGATCAGACGCATCCCGATTGAGCTCCGAAGGCTTTAGAGTAAACAGGGGAATTAAGCTACCTAACTCTTACTACTGCGACCCGCCACTACTGGCTGGGACCCGGTACTCCTGTGGGCTCCAGACTAGCCACCACTGAAGTCCGAACCGGGTGGTCCTCACACGCAGCGGAACTGCGGCCTACCTGAAGTGGCGTGGGGGAGGCGACCGACCCCCCCCCCCTCCCCCGTCACCAAATCTTCCTGAACCGCAGCTCCTGCCTGGGGCTACTCTACCATCCCTCCCCCCCCCCAGTGGGGGTTATAGTGGGAATTACCCTCAACATCAAGCTGCAAGTTCTGAAAAACAGGAGGCAAAAGAAGCACCCCACGTGTAATGGCGGATGGCAGCTACTTACCCGACACTGGATACCAAGCGTCCTCCACCTTGGACAAACTGGACCAACTGTTTGACGACTTTTGTGCTAAGCTCCAGAGGAGGCAACATCCTCCGACACCTACCGGGCTGACTCCCACTCTGGCTACACTCCAGACACCGGAGACCGCCTCCAGGGTGCCAGGTGAACCGACACAAGGCCCAAGGTCTATGCACCTCCATGGAGGATGAGGTGAACCCGAAGAGGGAACATAAGTAGGACAAGGTAAGCCCCTGCTTCCAACCCATGCAACATCCTGCAAGGATCACAGCAGGTCTACCTGACGACCATCAAGAGATATGGGAGCAGCTGGACACAATCTCGGAGAGAGACACCCAGTGCAGAAATGAGGCCAAAGCACCTGGATCTTCTGACCTGGAGGTACCCTATTCGAATCACCGACACATCCCGAGGTGGGCAGTTGGCAATGTGGCTTCAGGTTCCAACAGGGGCTATGGACCGACCAGAACAGGCTGATCGGGGCTCTCAGCACAGGCCTGCAGCCACAGTATTTTTGACATGGCAATCGTTATGCGCTGAACGGAGGCCTCAGAGGAATAACTGACAGAGAGAAATGCTGGGTTGTTCCACCCTTGGGCATTCTATCATGCAGATCAACCGTTACACAACTGTCATTAATGTAGCTATGGCTATTCTCCTATTCTGGTGCTCTCCTAACTCACCTGCAATGGTACAGTTGGTATAGCCAATGGCCTTACCTCTTGAAACATCCTCAATATCGTGGTCTTTTCCAGCGTGTTATTTGTGTTACTTGTTTACAATATTAGACCTATGCTACTGTCACTTCTTATGGTTGCTAATATTCATTAAAAAAAATAAAAAGCAGTGCAGCCCACTCCTGATATATCAGAATATTGCAGTATTTACGTATTGTCATATGTTATTCTGTGAAATATTTACACATGCTTGCCTGTCCAACTGTGCACTGCAAAAAATCAAGAATTATAAAAAGAAAACCATAAACAGTTGGTTACCTTTAGCAATACTGCCAATGGGCTTCACAATATATCAACTGTGGAACAAAGCTCCACCTCTAAAATGCACATCCTGTTGAGAGGGAGTATTCAGTATGACTTACTCAAGAGAACAATAGGCAAAAATGATAGTTGTCAGGAAACTGACAGGGATCCAATACGCAGAGTGCGCACAGAAGGAGGTACGTATACCGGACCTTAGAATGGCCGGACTAACGTAAGGACAAAGCAAGAATAGTCAAAAGGTAAGCCGAGGTCAAGGGAGCCGGAGGACAGGTAAGCGAGATACAAGCCGAGTCAAAGGAGAGGAGAGGACAACAGGACAAAAGACAAGCAAGGGTCAAAACCGGAAACACAAGATAAAGAACGCGCTGAGTGACTAGCAAGCTAGAACCACGACAGGGCAATGAGCAGTAGTAAAGGTTTCCTTTAAATACCCTGTTACCTAAATAGAGACCACGCCCCCAAAAGGTCCGGAATAGCGGTTCCCGGCACTTTATGCAAATGCCGACGTCATGACGTCGACGCTAGCCGTCGCGTCATAAAAGGGGGAGGAGCTAGCGCGGCCGGCGCGAAAACGGCCGGAATATGCCGAAATGCTAGGGGAAGGGAGCCCCTAAGCAGAGAGGATGTCCTCCCTGGATACATCACCAACAGGTACCCTGACAGTACCCCCCCTTCTAGAAACGCCCACCGGGCGGATGGGACCTGGTTTAGAAGGAAAACGAACGTGGAAGGCCCGAAGAAGACGAGGAGCATGCACGTCTATACCAGGAACCCAAGACCTCTCTTCTGGACCATAACCTTTCCAGTCTATGAGGTATTGCAGCTTCCCCCTAGAAATACGAGAATCAAGGATGGACTTGATGATATATTCCTCCTGACCATCCACACGGACCGAGGATGGAGGAGCAGAGCGGGAGGAAAATCTGTTACAAACAAGAGGTTTCAATAACGACACATGAAAAGAGTTAGGGATGCGTAGAGTAGGAGGTAGATCCAGCAAATAAGAAACCGGGTTGATCCTCCTCAGTACCCTGTAAGGACCAATGTAACGAGGAGCAAACTTCAAGGAAGGAACTTTCAGGCGAATGTGTCTGGTACACAACCAAACCCTATCCCCCGGAGAAAAAATAGGAGCAGGACGTCTACGCCTATCAGCATGTGACTTAAACACCGCGGAACTACGTTCAAGAATTTGTCGAGTCTGATCCCACAACTTTCTCAGGTTGGCTATATGAATATCAACCGACGGTATACCCTGGGAAGGAGACACCGACGGAAGAACAGTAGGGTTAAAGCCATAGTTCAAGAAAAAGGGGCTATTACGAGTGGAACCACAAACAAGGTTGTTGTGAGCAAACTCCGCCCAAGGAATCAGACCGACCCAGTCATCCTGGTGTTCAGAAACAAAACAACGTAGATATTGCTCAATTTTTTGGTTAGTGCGTTCGGCTGCTCCGTTAGATTGAGGATGATAGGCCGAAGAAAAATTCAGTTTGATGCCCAACTGTGAACAGAAGGATCTCCAAAAACGGGAAATAAATTGGGAACCCCTGTCTGACACAATCTCATTGGGAATACCATGTAAACGGAAAATTTCTCTAGCAAATATCACGGCCAGTTCGGGGGAGGACGGAAGTTTAGGCAAGGGAACGAAATGAGCCATTTTAGTAAACCTGTCAAGGACCGTGAGGATAACTGTATGCCTATTGGAAGCTGGTAGATCAACAATAAAATCCATAGCCAAACAAGCCCAAGGTTTGTTGGGAACGACTAAGGGCTGCAATAAACCACAAGGGAGATCCCGCGGAAGTTTATTCCTGACACAAACATTGCAAGCCTTGACAAAGTCTTCCACATCCCTACGTAAACCGGGCCACCAGAAGTCTTTGGAGATCAGACAGTAAGTTTTGTGGATGCCGGGGTGACCAGCGATCTTGCTATCGTGGAAACAGCGAATAATGTCCACTTGGAATTTGGGAGATACGAACAAGCGGCCCACAGGAGTACGTTCGGGAGCAAGAGATTGTTCGTTCTGAATATCAGCGAGCAGTGGAGAGTGTATTTTGACATTGGTGTTGGCGATAATATTGACTTCAGGAATAATAGGGAACAAAGTATCCTCTGTAGAGGTGGTAGGTTCGTGCTGACGTGACAAAGCGTCTGCCTTAGTGTTCTTAGAACCAGGCCTGTAAGTAAGCACATAATTAAAGTGTGTAAGGAACATAGACCAACGTGCCTGCCTGGCAGATAATCTTTTGGCCTCCCCCATATACGATAAATTTTTGTGGTCAGTCAAGATAGTAACTGGAAGGACGGTGCCCTCTAACAAATGTCTCCATTCCTTTAATGCCATAATGATAGCTAAAAGTTCCCTATCACCAATGTCATATCTCCTTTCAGTGTGTGATAGTTTCTTGGAAAAAAAACCGCATGGGTGCAGCGGCTTATCTAAACTTTGTCGTTGGGATAACACTGCGCCTATCCCTGTTTCAGACGCATCAACTTCAAGTAAAAAGGGTAGAGAGGTATCAGGATGAACTAATACAGGTGCTGAGGCAAAAGACTGTTTGAGCGTTTCGAAAGCAGATAAAGCCTCAGTAGACCAGGTTTTGGTATCGGCTCCTTGTTTGGTCATATTAGTGATAGGAGCGATAACAGAGGAGTACCCTTTAATAAAACGTCTGTAATAATTCGAAAATCCAAGAAATCTTTGTATGGCTTTGAGTCCCTTAGGTAAAGGCCAATCTAAAATCGATTTTAGTTTGGTCGGGTCCATCATAAACCCGTCTTTGGAAATTACGTAACCTAAGAAAGTTACCTGAGACTGGTCAAAGCTACATTTTTCCAATTTACAATACAATCCATGTTGTAAAAGTTTCTGTAATACCTTTCTGACTTGTCTATGATGTGAATTAATATCTCTAGAATGGATTAGTATATCATCCAAATATACAATTACACATTCATGTTGGAATTCTCTAAGAACTTCATTGATCAAGTCTTGGAAGACGGCCGGGGCGTTACAAAGCCCAAACGGCATTACGGTATACTCATAATGCCCGTAACGGGTATTAAATGCTGTCATCCATTCATCTCCTTGTTTAATTCGCACTAAGTTATATGCTCCTCTTAAGTCAAGTTTAGTAAAAATACTCGAGCCCTTTAGTCTGTCAAAGAGTTCAGTAATCAAAGGAATAGGGTAAGCATTTCTGATAGTAATTTTATTCAATCCCCGATAGTCTATACAAGGACGTAAGGTACCGTCTTTCTTTTCTACAAAAAAGAAACCCGCCCCCGCTGGAGAAGAAGACTTTCTAATAAATCCCTTGTCTAAATTCTCCTTGATATATTCCTCTAAAACTAAGTTTTCCTTGGTGGATAGAGGGTATACCGTACCCCTGGGAGGCATAGTACCAGGGAAAAGTTTAATAGAACAGTCATAAGACCGGTGGGGAGGTAAAGTATCCGCCTTACCCTTGTCAAATACAGATTTGAGGTCTAGATATTGTAATGGTATCTGAACGTCTGTGGATTGAGAAGTGTTAGCATAAGAGTTTACGGGGCAAACAGACGTAACTCTCTGCAGACATACTTTCCTACAACCCATACCCCAAGAAACGATTTCTCCACCCTCCCAGTCAATCTGAGGGTTGTGTCTCTTGAGCCAAGAATATCCTAGAACCACTGGGACTGCCGGGGAGGAAATTAACAGAAGGGAAATCAACTCTTCGTGGAAAATACCAACAGTAAGCTTAACGGGTTCGGTCTCATGGAATATTACTGGTTCAGATAAAGGTCTACCATCTATGGCCTCAACGGCCAAGGGTGTATCTCTCAATTGGAATGGGATACAATGCTTATTAGCGAAAGTTTGGTCTATAAAGCTTTCTGCTGCTCCAGAATCTAATAATGCCATCGTAGCAATAAACCCCTTTTCCCAAGCTAGAGAGACAGGAATCAGAAGCCTATGGTCTTTTTTATTATGTATAGAGGACAGTAATGAAACACCCAAGGCCCGTCCTCTAAGGGAACTTAGGTGCAAGCGTTTCCCGGACGATTAGGGCAACTAAGACGTAGGTGACCTCTCAGCCCGCAGTATAAACAGAGACCCTCCCTTCTCCTGTACTGTCTCTCAGCCTCAGATAAGCGAGTATTACCTATTTGCATAGGTTCTGGTGGAGTAGGATTATAGGAGTCAGGGTTCTGAAATGAGGGAGCGAGTCTTACAGGAAGTCTAGTAACTCTTTCCCGAGTGTTCTGCCTCTGTCTCATGCGTTCATCTATTCTGGAAATGAAGGATACTAAATCCTCTAAATTTTCCGGAAGTTCTCTTGTGGCAATTTCATCTAGAATTTCATCAGACAACCCATTCAAGAAAACATCCATAAAAGCTTGTTCGTTCCATTTCACTTCTGCTGCCAATGATCTAAACTCTAGAGCATATTCTACAAGGGTCCTATCTTGTTGTTTAAGGCGTAACAGGGATCTGGCCGCATTAATCTTCCTCCCTGGGGGGTCAAATGTTCTTCTAAAGGCCGTGACAAACGCAGTGTAGTTGTAGACTAAAGGATTGTCATTCTCCCAAAGGGGATTGGCCCATCTAAGTGCTTTATCTATTAGCAAGGTTATGATAAAGCCTACCTTAGCCCTGTCAGTGGGGTAAGCCCGGGGTTGTAGTTCGAAATGTATACTTATCTGGTTTAAAAAACCACGACAAGCATCAGGCGAACCC